ACACAAAATGCTAAATAAATGTTCTATGCAGACTGACATAACAATGTATAGGGGAAATCTGGGATGGGGACAGTTGTACCACGAACCCATCCTCCATTACAGCAAAAATTTGGGTTATAAAACTTAGGCTATGTCAGATCATCACTTCATTTATGTCACCAGTCACTGAAGAAATCTGCATGAAGTGTTAGATATGTCTGGAGACATTTATACTTTTGTGATTTTAACTGCATTAAGTAAAAAACAAGAGAGATTAACTTTTCTGGTTTTAAATCTGTGCGTGCATATTTACAAAGTGAAATGTATAACATCTTGAAAAACCTTCTTTTAATTAAATGTCCATGTTAAGCATACCTGCCATTTGTGGTTGTGTTTTGTGAGAGCAAGGTCTAAGTTGCAGGAGAGCGCAGAGGGGCTAAAGTAGAAGGCCTGCTGCAAGATGCTAAATTAGCTTCATTTGTGTTGTGCCCACACATTATGCCCAGTGAGGATGAGACAAACTAATAGAGGAATGAAAGATCCACAAGCCTTTCCTTAGAGCAATTGAGGGGGTTAAGGGGAGAGTTTAATGAGACTGTTTTTGTCAGTAGAGAGCATTCTTGTTTATGTTATTCACTTTTTTTGTCGTAAAGAGAAACTAAGTCAGGTGCCCAAACTTTTGCACCATGCCATAATAATGTTTTTATTTTTTATTTTTGTTCAATTTATGGCATAAGAAGTAACTATGCATCACTGTTTGCTGAAAATATTGTGCATTTTTTCCATTTCCAAGAGAAACTGTGTTAACATCTGTTCAAATAAAAAATCACCAAAATCTGTTATTTATCAAGGGGTGCCTAAACTTTTGCATAAGACTGTATATTTTGTCACTTTAAAAACAATTTTTAAAAATTTGAATTAATGCCCAGTGCTACCCATTTAAGGTGAGGAGATTGTGATTTAGTAACTCTGACACATCATAACATAAAAAAGATTTAATTTAATTTAAACTTAGCCATTGCTCTATTTCAGGGGTAATTTAATGCCCACTTTTGATCGTTAAAAAATTTGAGGAACACCTTGTCAAATAAATGAAAAAAAAACTAAATGTATTCAGTGTATATATTTATTGTATTCAATCATATTTCAAGACTGACACATTTAAGATATGCTTTTATTTCCAAATATGGCACAGGCATTTATTTTACCAAGCATTTTCATCAACAGGTTAATAACTCTGGCTGTAACTACAAGGTAACTATTATATAGTTAAAAACCCTTAATAATGCATCTTTATTATTGGCTGCATACATTAGTAGCATGCACATTTGTTATATAATTCACGCATTTTGCTGGCATTATCTAGAGCAGACATTTTGAATAGTACACAGTGATGACTGATAAGTAAGCTGTGATGTGAGGGAACACTGGACAAGTTGCACTAATAGCATTAACATTAAAAACAAAATATCAGGCTGCCCAACAAAAACACTGTCTCTTGGGATGTTGACATACATCACTACAGTATTACAGAGGAGATATAGAAGAAGAAGCTTTATTTATTGCCATTCTAACATTGTGATATGAACAACGAAATTATGCTTGGAGCCGAGGTGCATACACACCGCCATCACGGGCAACTTGGGGGGTTCAGATAAAACTGGATATTCTGAATATACACATTAACAAACTACCATTAATGTTAGATCCCTTTCAAGAAAGTTTAGACATTCAGATATTTATTAATTGTTCAGACATTCTAGTGGCTGTGGAAAGCATTGGTATTCCTGACCGCTGCAGTAACAGACTAATGGATTGCAGATATCATTAACCCATGATCTGCTTGTGATAGGCTGTGATGCAGCTGCCCCATTATTCATGTATCCCTAAACTTTCCTTTAAGCTTTTAACAAAATATTTAGCTGTCTCCCATTTTTTTTTAGTGAACAAGAACCTGCAGTCTGTGGCCTTGGGCCTGGTTTCACAAAGACTGAATATGTGGTCAATTTCAGTCTATGGGTCAAACTAATAATAAGTTGGCTTATTCTTGAGAATCTCAAAGTCTTTGCAAAGACATGATTTATTCACAAATCTGTTCACCTTTTTTATTCAAGAACCTCTTCTCGTGGCTGTGAGATTATGTACAAACAGCCATTTCCCCAATATTCCTCCAACGTTCACTGGGCCAACTTACTGTTCGTATGAGTACACAGGATTTGGTGACCTCACTTAATTCTTAGAATAGCTGCACGTGGCTTCAACTTGTGCACAGCTCTACTCAGCCATGTTGCCATATTACTAAGTTGCCTGTGGATGTGTGAGAGATGGAGATCACACAGTCTATACACACCCACACAGTTCTGAGAAGAATGAGTCAAGTAGGTTTTTCCAGTTTCTGTCTGCAGGTGACAATGAGTTGTCAGGAAGAGTGAATGTGCAAGTTAGTCTTTCCCTCCCTTAACCCCAAAGGGGTTCTCCAAAAAAACCTTTTTGGGTTAAAATACCCATTGTCAAAGATTTAGCATTAAAACAGTTGAAGAGCAAACCTAATATTTGCCTCCAGAAACCTAAGATACTGTATCTTTGTGAAACCAGCCACAGCCAGCAATAATGCGAGCTCTCTGCTTTTACCTAATTTTTCACATATTTCACCGTGGTAAGCAGCCTGATGTGGGCCTGTCTCTTCTCATACAATTTTGACTTTAGGGTACAGGCAGATCAAAAGTAGATGTTCAACATGCTGATCAATTGACACACCTGAATCATACTGGCTATGTGCTTGTCCAGTGTGTTCAGTGGTATTTATTTATGATCCTCAGCTACAGTAGGTGTGCCTTTGTGAGTGCAGGTTTGTGTTTCTTCATGTCCGGTAACACAGTATCAATATGTTTTGCAAGTAAGGATAATCACCTTTATTGGCCAAGTATGTTACACACAAGGAATTTGTTTCTGGTACAGAACCGAGGCAGCCATCTGCAGCGCCACCTCACTGATGGCTCTAAACCATCGGGGGCAATGGGGGAGGGGGTTCAGTGTCTTGCCCAAGGACACTTCGACATGTGGACTGCATTATGGGACAGCAAAGAACCCCACAACACTTGCATTAAACTAACCTTCCACATAAACCTGCACACACAAGGGATGCGATGAATAACAGGAAGTTGTTGGGATGATTTATAAAACATGCTGCACTGAGTAGACAAAGAAAACAGATTTTGTATAACGAGCTGGAGACTTCATCTGGATTCAAGAATACATGGTCAACTGAAGCCACTGAAACGACAGAGTTGCTTTTATTAAAACAATTAACTGTTCCTACCAATTGAATTAATGCCTTTTAAAAAAAACTAAATTCCAGTCAAAATCCAAAATATGAGATCACTTTACCTCCTTAACATTGAGTTTGATAGTCCCATCGTTATCCTTGTCCAAAGTTTTGAATGCACCTGAGACAGAACAGATAATAAAGCCTAATGTACCTTCAGTTTATTAGATTAGATTTCAAGCTACTCATTCTCATCACATAGGTAATGCTGGCCAACTCATACAGAAATCATTTAGCTTTAAACTTACGGCACATGGCATCCAGTCTCACAAGACACCCAATGTAGTTGTCAAAATCTATGTTTCCGTTGTCATCGCCGTATCTGCGACTGATCATCTGGAACAAGTACTCATTGAGAGGGAAGCCTGACAATGAGATGGACAGATAAAACCCTGATCATTTTACCATTAAACAACAGTTACAGAAAGGCTGAATGTACTGTAGGCTTAAGGCTGCCAGGCTTAACACGACTTATTCAAACAGCAGGTACAATATTGAAATCACTAGCCTTTCACACAGCTTTCTTTTGAGTTCAAATGCAACTGACTTATGGGAGTGGTTACCTATATGTATAAAGGTGCTAAAGTATAGATCAAAGAGTTGATCTGTTTAACTAAGTTGTGCAAACATTTAAACAATAGGGGAAATGAGAAGAAAAAAAAAACCTAACCTGCAGCTCTGAAAGCGTTGGGCAGCTCATCTGCACTAATGGTACCAGAGTGATCAGCATCATAGGACTTGTACACCCCCTGAATAATAAACATATTTAATACAATTATGGCATCTGAAATTGTTCCCTAGTGGTTCACAGCCTGGATTTAAAAAAAAAAGCTTCTCTCCAACAACATGAATAGTTGCAAATGTGGTTGTAACAAATGGGTGTATGTTTAAGAAACATTTTTTAAAACTCCTTCAGCAAAATAAAAAAACATGTAGTTAATTGTACATCTAATTTAATTTATAACTTCAAAAACAAATAAGTAGTATTCTTCTTCTACCGGTAAGCCTAATTCAACCAGACTACGATTTATTTGACAGAAAATTAAATGATCTGTTCCACAGTGTAGCCAATGTCATAACGTTTGCCTTTCAGATTTATGCTTGTGTAAAGCATAGCAGTGAATCAAATAAGAGAGGAGTTTGGCACACTGTTCATGCAAATCCATGTCCTTTATAACCACGGTCAAGCGCTAATACTGTATATACACTTTACCGTTTCGTCTGTGCTCACTGTTACTGCAGATAATCAACACCACAGGAATGTAGCTCACAAACACACAAGTAGGACAAAAGAAATGGGCCTGCTGTAATCACCTGCCACTTCTTTATATTATTCCAGAGGTATTTGAATTCATGAAAGCCAAGTTTTCCAGTGCTGTCACTCTGAAACAGCACTAAGGAAAAAAGACAACAGCTCTCACACTTTGACTTCAGCTGAGACAAACACTCGCATTTCTTGTGGGCATTTTGTATTTGCTCAAGGTGTATATTTACATGAATTCCTCTATGTGCTGCAGAACACAAATGTCAACTTTTTGTCTAACTCATTGGTAACACTACAACTTTCACTACAAATGACAAAGATCATGCAACTCCCACTTAGCCATCTTTACACTTTTTTATTTATATATGCAATTAACATTGAATACTAATATAATGATTTTATTTCCATCTTACATTACACAGCTATGAACCCACTCCAGCACATTCTCAGAGCTTTGACTGAACCTTTGTGATCAATGCAAATGTACATACATTATGTGCACATACTTGTCCGCAACCGCATGTAGGCGTCACTGCGTACCTACATAGTTACGGAGTTTTTGTGGGTCAATGTAGGTTGCTGATAGTCGCAGGTGGTCTGATATGCACACCTCCCAAATCTCAATTACGCATTGTGCGGAGCTGCACATCCTGCATGCCAGTTGGCTGAAGGTACAGCAGAGGATATACTTCTTGCACCAGCTCAGGAAGTTCAACCTGCCCCAGGGGCTGCTGATACAGTTCTACAGAGGAATCATTGAGTCTATTCTCTGCACCTCCATCACTGTCTGGTTTGGCTCAGCAACCAAACAGGACAGGAACAGACTCCAGCAGACAGTCAGGACTGCAGAAAAGATCACTGGTGCAAGCCTGCCCTCCATGGAGGTCAAAAAGTGGGCAGAGAAGATTTCTGCAGACCCCTCACACCCTGGACACAAACTGTTTGAACTCCTCCCCTCTGGACACCAAGACAACCAGACACTAGGACAGTTTCTTCCCCCGGGCCATCACACTGATGAACACTTAACCCTGCGACTGTATAACAGAAAGACAACCCTCAGTGCAGTACCTTATAAATATAGCTTTGTATACAGCTATCTGAAAAACTGCATCTAAATTATGTCTGTGTATATATTTCTATAAGTACTGACACTGGGTGAAAGGCGGGGTCCACCCTGGACAGGTTGCCAGTCTACACACCCCCACTCACTCCTACGGGCAATTTAGAGCCACCAATCAACCTATGCTGCATGCCTTTGGACTGTGGGAGGAGGCCAGACCACCTGGAGAAAACCCACATGGGCACAGGGAGAACATGCAAACTCCACGCAGAAAGGCACCGAGTCAGCCCGGGCTCGAACCTGGAACAGTCTTGCTGAAGTGATAGCGCCAACTGCCGCACAACTGTTCCACATAGTATCTGTTATTAGAGCCAACTGGTTATGTATTTGTTCTGTTCTGCGTATCTGTAATGTTAGTCAGCTTCAACTGCCACCTGGATTACACAACAGCACAAAGGATACATCCATGACTGCCACCATGCCCCTGCAAGACTCAATGCTGAAACCATCTGTCTTCAGGTCTGAATCTGAAATATAAGAGAAAACCATTATTCAGCATTTTGTAAATGTTTTCATAAATGTACATACATAAACACAGCAAATAGAAATGTATAAAAACAGTGAATCATTAAGATCAACCAAAAAAAAACTGTAAGAAAAACCCAATGGCATGTAAGAGGTTGTGACTTTAAATGCTCTAAATATGACAAATGCAAGCATGTCTTACGCTTTGCAATGATTTTATTTAGGATGTTCATCAGCTCAGTTGCGCTCACTTCCATGTCCTGTATGAAAAATATTCAACAGCAAACATTAAAAAGCCTGCAGACAGCTGTACAGTTACAACTAACTCTGGATGCAGATCTTGTTTTGTTAATGAACTGGAATAATCAGTGGTTACTGCAGAAAAAAATGAGACGTTCAAAGGGAAGTGTAGGTAGAAGGGAAACATAGTACTCACGTCTCCAGCGAGCTGCTGGAAGACTTTGCGGAACTGTTTATCCTCGTCACTCTCATGCTGGTCTGCATACACCTGAGGTCTACGTGGTGGAGGCTGTGGGACAGAGGCAAACATTGCAAACTCTGGAATCATCTAGAGTTAAATGTAGATGGGCAGATAGAGCTGGTAATGAAACAACTGTCACTCACAGGATCAGAAGGCACAAACTGGTTGATGTTGCTACAAAGATGGGATCAAAGATAAAAGAAAGTTAAACTCCAAAACACTTTTTTGGGTTGAATCAGTACTTTATATAGGTTCTTACCTTGCAGCATCAATTAGGCTACCGATAACTTTTTGGACAAGAAACATCTTCTATCAGCTGTGAATGAAAAATGCAACATAAGTCAGGTGAAAAATTTACACCACAAACACCAGGCTGAGCCAGATAGCTGAAAATGCTCCCTGACTAATAACTACAGATGTATGGGCTTACAATAATAACAATTGTTCTATAATCATGGCAGCAGTGACCACTCATGGCTAGAGTAATGCTGGTAGAAAACTGTTTAAATCACAGAACTGACTACAACAATTCACTAGACCTTAGGTCCAATGCAGTTTTTCCACTTAAACAGTAAAGTGTTTCAGTGGTCTGGTGCTCAGAAATCCAAAGCAACACCAGAATACAGTTGTTAATAAAAATATAATGAAGCAATTAACCGTAGGGATCAGAAAATGGCATTCAAAAAAATAAACATTCCAGACAGAGAGAATGCAATGTCACGGTCAACCACAACAAACACTCTGGTTTTAACATCATATGCAACTCAGTGTGGTCATGCTTATACTCCGCTAACAGGTGTAAGCTAGTGTTTCAGTAGTCTCAATCAGCTGCACTGGTCGGATTTCTTTATCAAGCAGTGACATGTCTTGTGTTTTCTTCAATTACATAGTGCACCAGGGTGTCTGTGGGGTCTTAAAAAGTATTAAAAGTTAATAAAACTATTGAGCAAAAAATTAAGCCCATTGAAAAGTATTAAAAATCTTAATGGCCATTTCAAGAGGTATTAAAATTTGTAGCCATTTGCCATGTGAAAAGCCTATGTGTCGAAATAAAAGCTTGGGTGAACGTATTTATTTATATTGCATAACTGTGTTGCTTGTGGAATTCTTCACAGACCTGCACCCAGTGGAATCCAGTGGTAGTATTATCTGCAAGTTGGGCTATTTTAATTTCTCTGCTATTGAGCATAATGCCTTTAATCTGACTTTTGATAATTAGGGAACAGAATCTGAGGCACTAGTAAAATAAAAATATATACAGTAAATACAGGGCATCCTTGCCCTTATATACAGTTTTAATAAGTGGCGGTTTGTGGCATGGGCGAACCAGGCAGCCGCCCGGAGAGACTATTTTCATGACACGTGGGGGGCGGCACAAGCACTTGGAAAGAAAATAATCTGCGCTGCTAAGCGGTTTTCTATTATCTATCATATGTGGCGCCCCTGCTTGATGAGAAGGTGCCATGCACAGAAGCTGTGTGAGAGGTGTAAAGGAGAGGGGAGGGGGCGCAGGCGCAGGAGGAGAGTTCACCTCTCCCAAATGGAGCAGACGAAGGAGCGGGGCAGGGGGATCCACTTAGTAGACTAAACTAAGTCAGTGACACCTTGACTTTCTTCCAAATAACTCACATTTTATTCATAATATTATAAACAGACCTATAATTTGCATGTTTTTGTTTTTTCCAAATTGTGTGAAATGGCTAATAAAAATAGGTAATACAAGGTGAATTGGTTTAGTCTTGACTCCTGGTCGTGAGTGACAGTGTTGGGGGATGGGAAATCTGTTGATTGTCGATTGCAAAAAAAACAAAAAACAAAAAAACTGAGCGATGGAGAGAAAAAGGTCAAAGCTGTCAGGTGCCCAATTTAGGAAAAAGAGAAACGAAGAAGAGGAGAAATGAGCAAAGGATAAAGGTATGCAACTACATTCTGTATTGATTATGGTATCCATGTCATCAATAAAGGGCTAATGTTAAGTTATTGGTATAACGTTAACTCTTACATTTGTTGCTTGCTATGCTTATACAACAATAATTCGGTCTTTACTCAACACAAGATCTAATTTCACCAGAAAATTGTGCTTTGCAACAAAACTGTTACAAGTACAGTTATTATTTGCTTCCATCATTCAGGTTAATGTTGGCCCTGTAATTAGCCAATGGAATTTACATATGTGTAGGCAGTTTCAAAGACGAACATTTGCCATTTGCTATAACTCTGTTATGTGACAAAGCATATAATTCGAGGCAGTAGGTTAACCAAGGAGCTAATTGTTCCTCCCTTAGATTAGATTAGATTAATATAGTGTCTAAAGAGTCATGACAGACATTTAGCATGTAAGGGTATGTTTATTTAAATTTGCAATTTATAAGAGTTATATTGTAACCTACAGTATTTTAATATCAATTTAACTTGCAATTCAATTGCAATTTCAGGGGCACTTCTAAAATATTTTGGAGCATCCTCTGCCACTGGTCAGGATGAGCCACCCACCTGCCCCACTACACAGGACTCTGCTGGAATGGTCTCTACTCTTCAGGATGAGCTACCATCTATGTCCTCAGCTACTCATATGTCTCCACAAATATCTGATATTGAGGATGAAGACCTCTTTGCCTCTACTTCTACCCAGCATGAGAAGGTAAGATGGAGAGCAGTGCTGACACGTCTCACTGCTATTGCACAGTCACTGGCAGTTCGAAATTTGGCTCTAAGGGGACACACAGAAACACTGTTCACACCATCAAATGGGAATTTTCTCAAAGAGGTCGAACTTATGGCCACGTTTGATCCCATTGTGAAAGATCACCTTAACTGTGTTGAAAGAGGACCAGCAAGTCACAACAGCTACCTAGGCCATGTGCAGAATGAGCTGATTGATTTGTTGAGCAGCAAAATCATATCTACTATAGCGGATGACATCAAGCAGGCAAAGTTTTTTTCAATAATTCTGGACTGCACCCCAGATATAAGGCACACAGAATATAGTGTCAGTGACAGAATAGTTGTCAGTGGTCAGAGTGGTGTCACTGATGAAGAAGCCCCATATCAGGGAACATTTTATGGGATTTTTGGAGGCAGAGGAGTCCACAGGCCAGCACTTGGCATCCATGATCCTGACAAGACTTGAGGAGTTGGGAATTCCTTTTGAAGACTGCAGAGGACAATCATACGACAACGGGGCAAACATGAAGGCAAAAATAAGGGAGTTCAAGCAAGGCTCTCAGAAAAGAATCCCCGAGCTCCGTTTGTGTTATGTGGGGCACATACATTGAATTTAGTTGTGTGTGATGCTGCTAAGGGATCTGTTGAGGCTATGAGTTACTTTGGTGTCCTGCAAAAGCTTTACACGTTATTTTCAGCCTCCTCCCAAAGATGGGCCATACTGAAGAACCATGTGAGCATCACCTTAAAGATGTGGTCAGAAACAAGGTGGGAGAGCAGGGTCAAGAGCATCGAGCCCATGAGGTACCAGGGAGCTGCCGTGAGAGAGGCTTTAATTGAGGTGAGAGACAACACCAAAGACCCTGCTATAAAGGCTGAGGCCCAGTCTTTGTCTGAGGAGGTGGGGTCGTACCGCTTCAGCATCTGCACGGTTGTTTGGTATGACATGCTATCTGCAATACAGCATGTCAGCAAACTTATGCAGTCTCCAAATATGCATGTGGACCTAGCTGTGAGTCTTTTGAAAAAGACAGTGAGGTCTCCAGAGCTACAGGGCAAGTAGCTTTGTGACTGCACAAATGGCGGCCAAAGACATTTGTGAAGAAATGAATGTGGAGGCTGTTTTGAAACAAAAAAGGCTGAGGTCCACAAACCGCCACTTCTCATATGAATCACATGGTGAGCCTTTCAGTGATGCCCTTAGGAAGTTGGAGGTTGGATTCTTCAATGTTATTATTGATGCAGCCATGTCAGTCAGAGGTTTACTACATTGGAAAATGTGGAAAATAAATTTTGACAAATTTCCCAAGTCTTGCAGATGAGGAGCTGGCAGAGCAATGCAATGCACTAGGTACAACACTGCACTTTGGAGGGCATTCTGATTTGGACAGTAGAGAGCTTGTGCAGAAATGCAAGAACTTATCTCACCTGCCATCAAAAACCATGAGCCTCCTTGAGCTCATCACTTTTCTGCAAGATAAGGATCTATCAGAGATCTACCCTAACTTTTGGACTGCTCTCAGGATTGCACTTACTCTGCCAGTCACTGTGGCTCAAGCAGAGAGGAGCTTTTCAAAACTGA